GGTGCAGGTGGCAGCAACGGACGCGGATAAAGTCGGAGGTGGAGGTCAGAGGTCGGAGGTGCAGGCGGCAGGCGCAACAACTGACGCGGGTAGAGTCGACGGGAGGTGGGACAAATCTGGGACTGGTAGAGGGCTACAGGATGGGAGGAGTAGGCGGTCGGCGATCGTCGGGAAGGGAGGGGCGGAGGGTGGAGGCGGAAGTGCGATTCAGAGAGAATTGTAGGGGCGGCGGGTTTGTTGGTCTGGGAAGGGGGGGTAATTGGAAAATGTTTAGTCAGCAGCTGTTAGCATTTTAGGGTTAGGGGTGTGGCCGGGTATCCACGGGTCGGGTTCCCCCAAACCCGAACCCGCCCCAACCCGCCCAACCAGCCACCGGGTTTAAACCCGAACCCGGCCCAAACCCAGTCAACACAGGTTTTACCCTGTTTGACCGGGTTGGGTCGGGCCGGGTACCCGCGGGTCCGGGTTGAACTGCCATCCCTAATTTCAAATGATTCATACTCATTTAACAGAACATCAATCCTACTTTCCTTAACCTCGGACGTACCTTCATGGGTAGTCTGAAGAGACTCCCAAATCTCCTTAGCAGACTCACATTGAGCAACTTGACTTCTTTCTTCTGGACAAAGCGCTGAAAACAGAATATGCATGGCTCTTGAGTCGAGCTTAGAGGAAATCTTTTGCTCCTCCTTCCATTCTTCTTCGTCTTCATCCTTCATAGGAACTAGTCCTTTTCTGACAACTGCCCACAACTCTCCATCAACTCCACGAAGATAAATTCGCATCCTTTTCTTCCAGACTGTATAGTCTGTTCCATCAAACCAAGGTGGATTTGTGTTTGCGGAGTAGGAGACTGCGGTTGATGAAGACCCAGACATCCCAAGACCCTCTCTTTGGCGATGATTAATCCTTCAAAGAGTAGGCTCTGATACCAATTGAGAACTTAGAATGAGAGAAGATTCTAATTTAAACTCTCTGAATTGATCTTTTGTAAAATGAAGAAGAATTTTATTGATTTTGAGTAGAAACTGCACAAATACACAGCGAACCCTAGCCAAGCCAAATGACTTGGCTCTTTCAATAAAGACACTCAACACTCTTACTTCCCAAGATTCAAATCACCCAGTACACACTCATACACTGTGATTCAATCTACTGAAGTAGCTATATCAATGGACCCAAAGTAGAAGAGATTAACAACGATTACTCTCGCTACAGACTGCTAAGTTCTAATAAGAGTTAGCGGCTCACAATTTATAGGGCAAGAAAGCATATGACCGTTTCCTAAGGAGAATGCTCCATAGCCTTCATCATTTGGCAAGGTGATAGAGATGGTGCTAGGTGGAGCAGGTTCGAGAAAGCTGTGGTTTCTAGTGAGAGAGAACGATCGAGAAGAAGATCACTGTTCGAGGAATTCTTCTCAGCAGTTGAGATAGACTTCGAAGGACGACACTCCAAAACGATATCGTTCCATGTTGCTTCTGTGGTTGGTTGAAATGACACCGGTTGTTATCATTCATTAAAGTATGGTCATAACTACAATTCTGTTCTCATAATCCACTAATCCTTTGTTTTTGAAATACATGCAAAAGTATTTACATACAAAAATCCGGTTGTTTGTTTGTGGAATTTCTTTTTTCCTGGTTAATGTTTGAAACATTTCCCCCTAATTTAGGTACGTGTTAGAAATTTCAATGTTCCAAAATACTAAAATTAAAAAACAATCTCACGAAAAGGGTATGATGAATAATTATTTAGCTAGATTAATATATATAAAATAATACTAGTTTTTTGGCCCGCGCTCCGCCGCGGTAAGAAACTAATAATTTAGTTAAATTCCAATAATTCACATAATTATTCACATAAGATACATATGTAAGTTTCACGTAATGTCTTAATTATTACGGATAATATACATCATCCATTTGTTTAAGCGATACATAGTAAATAACTATTTTTTAGGTCCTCCTACCATGCCTTGAAATTACTATAACTTGACGTTTTTTTACCTGCTATAGCAGGTTTTATAGGTCGCGTTACGTAAAACTAATGTTTATTACGTAACAATTACGTAATGCTTGTTAGTCTTACGTAACAGTTAAAATAGAAGCGTTACGGAAGGTTTCCGTAACGACTTATCATTTTACGTAACGCTAGATTAATATTCATTACGTAAAACCATCGTCTATTACATAAGACTTCCGTAATGACATTTTAAAACTGTTACATAAAATACACGCTCATTACTGTAAATGTTACGTAACGAAGGTTATTTCTTACGTAATAGTTAAATTAGAAGTGTTACGTAAGACTTCCGTAATGACTTAGCACATTACGTAACTTGATTAATATCATTACGTAAAAGGACCATCCATTACGTAAGGCTTCCGTAATGCCACTTTACAACTGTTATGTAAAGTATGCATCTATTACATAAAGGTTACGTAACAATAGTTATTTCTTACGTAACAGTTAAATTAGAAGTGTTACGTAAGCCTTCCGTAATCATTCAACAGATTACGTAACGAAAGGTTAATATTCATTACGTAAAATGAGTGTCTATTACATAAGGTTTCCGTAATGACATTTTTCAACTATTACGTAAGATAAACACACATTACATAACCATTACGTAATGCCTATTGTATTTTACGTAATGCGACTTGTGAAACCTGTTATAGCAAGTCAAAAACATCAAGTTACCATAACTTCAAGGTATTGTAGGAATTTCCTAAGGTTTATATAATGTTTAGTCACTATGGAAAACTTACATATTATTATTTTTAGTTGATACATACTTTTAGTTGATTCCATAGTGTTTAATCACTATGGAAAACTTACATATTATTATTTTTAGTTGATACATATAAAATGATTATTTGTCCATTAACTTTACGTAGTGTCATAATCGTTAAAGAAAAATCATGTAATATTATTAAATAAATCTTTCATAATATGTGGTCTAATAATGAAATCAAATTATACTAAGTATGAATTTTTAATCTATGTAACTTTTATAGAATGTTGTAACATAAATTTTTAATAATAATGTGTGGTCTAATATTAAAATAAAACTTTAGTAACTTTAGAAAGTAACATGAAAGTAATATATGATTAAACTGTTATATCAAAGTTAACTGATTAGAAGCTTATGGTAAAATTGTATGTAGGAGATAAAGAACTGTTATAGAACGTTGTTACATAAATCTTTTATAATGTGTGGTCTAATGATAAAATTAAATTTTAGAAAGTAACGTATGATTAAATCTGCTATGACAAAGTTAACTAATCTTGCATAATGCGAACTGATGACATGCTATATATTTTAGTTAACAATAATGAATTTTCTTTTAATAGTAAAGGAAATTAAATATTGTTCATACTATTTAGTAATAAATATGAAAAATAAAGGAGTTTAAGTTAATAATCATATATCTAATAACTAATCTATGTAGAGAAAAAGACTTATCATAGAACTTCATATGAGCTATAGACTTATCGTAGAATTTGTTGTAGATGATAAAACTCATATGAATAGTATTGATTAAAAGGAGAAAAAAATGGAATTATGGTAGATTGGGGGAATGAAATAAAATCTCATTATAAAGAGTACCCGTAGAGAGAAAATAGCAGGTTGTAGAGAAAAAGACTTATCATAGAATTTCATATGAATTTTAGACTCATTGTAGAATTGGTTATCGAGAATAAAATTCATGTGAACAGTATTGGTGAAAATGAGAAAAAAGATGATTATGGTAAAATGGGTATATGTGATAAAACCTCATTCTGAATAGTACCCGTGGAGAAAAGTATTTGTGTTTTTAATTATATAATATTTAATGCTCTTATCCATTAATGTCATTTATAGTTAAGGGTAGGAAACGATCCGGCAAACACCGGCCCGAATCGTACTAAATCGATATTTGAATCGAATTGAATATATTTTTGTTCTACGAATTATTTTAAGTATGAAGAAAAAAAAATCAAAATTAAATTTGTACCGAACCAAATAAATCAAGCATGCTTTCGGACCAGTTGTGATCCTCATTTTTCTTTGCACTTGATTCCGTCCTGTCTCACTCCGATCTGATTATAAACTGAATCAACCGATTTCTAACCTTATTTATTATTCACCAATTATCATCTATAAAAATGACTACCCTTCCTATACACGTGGATCAATTAGATTACAGATATATGTTCTGCCAATCAACCCATTACCTATCCCTGCTTCTCTCCTTTGTCTACCAAGGACGGGCCTATCATAGGGCAGGCCACATTATAAACCTCCAATATTGTGAACAGTAACCCACGTAAGTATTTTGGGTAATTGGAAGATGTTTCCGTTAAAATTGGTGCTTTTGCCTATTTAATCGTATGGAACAGTAAACAAAACTTGCGTTGTTAATTAATTAATTAATTAATTAATTAATTAAGGAGCACTAAACCTAGTAAAAAAATACGTCTAACTATATTAAACTATGCAAATCAGAAGCCGAAAATAGAAAAGAAGTCCAATGACATGATCAGTCCGTTTTTGGTTCGATTAAGAATTGCGAATTCCGAGTAGAAAACTGCGAGCATGCATATTCCCCTTAGATTCCTAACCCTTACCACTTTCGTATTTGGTCAGATACTCCTCTATATAAAACCCACCTCCCACCTTCCTCCACTACGCACCAACTCACAAATAGCTACTTTCTCCAATAGCTATCCCCAGAGTTAAGGTCAGTAATTCTCGATCAGCTTCTCCTCTTGCCCGAATCAAAGCTCTCTTTTTCTTTATGCGTCTTTCTCCCTCGCTTTTGTTTGTTTGCTCTTTGTTATAATCTGTTTCGCTAGTACGGTTGCACTTTTAGGGGTAGGAAGGCATCCATGCATAATGCATTCATATATGTACCATTAATTTTTGCCCTAATTTTTATTAACTTGCATCAGTTATGTCACGTACTCACGTTGGTTTTTTGTACAGCAACATGAAATCTGAGGGGTATAGTTCAATGGAGAAAAAGCCGCTGGGAGTGCTCGCCGCACTCGACGCCGCCAAGACCCAATGGTACCACTTCACGGCCGTCGTCATCGCCGGCATGGGGTTCTTCACCGACGCCTACGACCTCTTCTGCATCTCCCTCGTCACCAAGCTCCTCGGCCGCATCTACTACACCGACCCCACCTCCTCCAAACCGGGCTCTCTCCCGCCCAACGTCGCCGCCGCCGTCAACGGCGTCGCCCTCTGCGGCACCCTCGTCGGCCAGCTCTTCTTCGGCTGGCTCGGCGACAAGCTCGGCCGCAAGAAGGTCTACGGCATGACCCTCGCCATCATGGTCTTCTGCTCCATCGCCTCGGGCCTCTCCTTCGGCCAGACCGCCACCGGCGTCATCTCCACGCTCTGCTTCTTCCGCTTCTGGCTAGGGTTCGGCATCGGCGGCGACTACCCCCTCTCCGCCACAATAATGTCCGAGTACGCCAATAAAAAGACACGCGGCGCGTTCATCGCAGCCGTATTCGCCATGCAAGGGTTCGGCATCTTGGCCGGAGGCATCGTCGCCCTCATCGTCTCCGCCGCGTTCGACCACGCCTTCAAAGCCCCACCCTACGCCGTCGACAGGCTCGCCTCCCTCCCGCCGCAGGCGGACTACGTCTGGAGGATCATCCTCATGTTCGGCGCCATCCCCGCCGCGCTGACCTACTACTGGCGCATGAAGATGCCCGAGACCGCGCGATACACCGCTCTTGTCGCCAAGAACGAGAAGCAGGCCAACGAGGACATGGCCAAGGTGATGGACTTCAAGCCCGACGAGGCACAGGAACAACAGGAAAAGGTTAAAACGAACACCGCCGCCAGCAACCACCAGTTCGGGCTCTTCACGCGCGAGTTCCTCAAGCGACACGGGCTCCACCTCCTGGGGACCACCTCCACGTGGTTCCTCCTCGACATCGCGTACTACAGCCAGAACCTATTCCAGAAGGACATCTTCACCGCCATCAAGTGGATCCCACCGGCCGCGACGATGAACGGGATCCACGAGGTTTTCAAGGTGGCCAGGGCACAGACGATCATCGCGCTCTGCGGTACGGTCCCCGGGTACTGGGTCACGGTGGCGCTGATCGACTGGATGGGGAGGAAGAAGATTCAGCTGGTCGGGTTCGTTGGCATGACGGTGTTCATGTTCGCGCTGGCGATTCCGTACCACCACTGGACGCTGGAAGGGAACCACGTGTGGTTCCTGGTCTTCTACGGGCTGACTTTCTTCTTTGCCAACTTCGGGCCCAATGCGACGACGTTTATCCTCCCCGCGGAGATATTCCCCGCGAGGCTGAGGTCGACGTGCCACGGGATATCGGCGGCGGCGGGGAAGGCCGGGGCGATCGTGGGGGCGTTCGGGTTCTTGTACGCGTCGCAGTCGACGGATCCGGCGAAGGTGGATAAAGGGTATCCCACTGGGATTGGGATGAAGTGGTCGCTGATAGTGATGGGATTCATTAATTTGGTGGGGTTTTGTTTCACGTTTCTGGTGCCGGAGTCGAATGGGAAGTCGCTGGAGGAGTTGTCCGGCGAGAATGAGGCGGAGGAGGAGGCCAAGGGCGGCGGCAGGGATGTCAGTCCCGTATGAGATTGATCCTTTTTGCATGGCTACGAACTTAATTTGGTAGTAATTTGGATTTTTTGTTGTTGAATTATTTATTTATGCGTTGATTTTATGGTCGGTTAGCTGTAATTCACAACGTCTGTTTATTAGGATATTTTAATTTTGTGAATGAATTTCACTATTTGCTCGTACGTAATGGAGGCTGTTATGGGTGATGTGGCGGTGTTGTGATTTAGAACACGATACATGATTTGTGGTTTTTATTTGTCTTTTCATGATTCGACCATGGTTAATTGATGGGTTGAGGGCTGAAACATCTAGGTAGAGCTCTGCGTGTTTTGACATCTTGTCGTTGAAGTGGTATGAATGTCGTGGAAGATTATAGAAAGACATGTTTAATAATTTCGCCATGTTAGCTAGGAAGGCAAACTATAGATTTGTGCTTGTTGAGCTTCATGGTGAAGCTGCAGGGAACCATGTCACAGAAAGATTTTCATTTGGTTTCCTAGGGCTATGGATCTAGAAAATTAGAGAAGCAGTGGAGAATTTAGAGACGAATTGTTTTCCAAGATTTATTCTCAGTTTCAAGGATTAGGAGAAAGCAAAATATAACTAATCACACCAAAAAAAGTTATAATAAAACTACAAGTGATTTGCATCGTATCTCCCATTGATGAAGTGCAGTTGACTAGGGATGACGTACAATTTGAACCTGCCCTGCCAGGTATTATTCGACCTGACCTATGATAAGGTGGGTATTTGACTTATTATCACTATTTTTAAGCAATGGATAAGGCGATAAGCAACGATTTGGTGAAGGTAGGACCACCAAACAGCAGAACCCTCATCGATTTGGTTAAGCAATGGATAAGCAACGGTTGGTGAATCTAGGCGAGGATTCCTTTTATCTTCCTTTTCTTGGGGAATGTCTGTTTGTTTGTTTTGAATGGAACATCACCTTGATGAGCTGCTCCAACTTGCAAGGATGGTCGCACTATTAGTTCATCCAAACGACACAATCACTGCACCCAGCTCCCACTTTTTCAGGTCAATTCTGAAAACTGGTCCACACTCCTTTTCTATGAAAATAGTGACCTTACTTACATGTCTATTTTTTAAGGAACGACCAAATTTACCTTTTATTAAATGTTGGCGCTACATCATAGAAAAGGTTGTTAGCAGAAATTAGGGATGGTAATGGCCCGATTTGGGTTGGACTTTTTTAAATCAAAACTCAATCAATCGTAAATTTGTTATAAAAAACAAAATGGGGAAAATATTCAATGGATTTTAAAAGAGAAAATGTAAACTCACATCATAATATTATCAAGAAAAAATTCCTAGTAATATATTTTTATAAAGACTAATTACATCTATAAATTATATTTTTTAGGAACAAAATCCATATGACTATATTCCTGCACTTTTCTTTCACATGTCACAATACACATGATATCATGAACTGTGAGACTCAGATTATGGCTGTCTATGTTGGAAATTTGGTTGAACCGGACTAACCAAGTCAAACTGGTTTTGGGTTGGACTGACCAACCGGTTTGGTATTAGACCGACTGAACCGATATTCTAATTCCGTGAAGGGACACATCCCTTTGGCCTAGTGGCGGTTGCATTATTTTATGGATAAGGATAAACTTATGGATAGAGGCAACCCTTCATATGGATAAGGATAACCTTTCATATGGATAAGGATAACCTTTCGTATGGATAAAGGCAACCTTTCATGAAACAATGCATGGATTCGGCCCCTATAAATATGTGTGGGGTGGATGATGCCACATACCATCAAACATATTATTCTTCTTTCTTCCAAAAATTTCTAAGTATGCTTTAGTGTTCTTGAGCCTGGAACCTAAAGTGGTGATAGTTTTATCCTCGGGAGAAATTTCCTGTAACCCTAGGCTTGTTGAGGGTGGAAATATTCTTTTCGGAAAGTGAACGTTGTTCACGACTCTATCACAATCCTAGTCACCCGGTCTCGGGCTATCGTACGTGTACCCTCGTCCCTAAAAGTCCCAACAATCGAAAAGAATAATTTTCTGGTACGATGGCTCGAACCGCTCTTAACAAGAAACCGGTTCCGGTCTATGGAATTATGAGAATGTTCGATGATGGGTTTTTCATCGATGGCAGTAGAAGATGGGTTTTCTTCGTACTTGTCTCACGGTGTATTCCATATCCGGAAGGTAACTTGGAAGATGGATGATTCGAAGATGAGGAAGAAGGAGAATGATTCGTAAAATGGAGAAATAGAAGAATGAAAATTGCCTTTGGGTAGGTCACATACTCAATGGTTAATTTGTCTAATTCTCTATTTGACATTTTTGAAGTTTTAGACAAATTTGGATTTGTCTAGTGGTTTGGTGGTGTGATTTTGTCTAGGGTTGTATATGTTATTTTAAACCAAGGAGACAAAATGTGTACACAATTTATGATGATTCTGGTAATGAAGTCATCGTACATTTGTATGTATAAGATAAGACATGGTTATCTTTGGAACCAATAAAAGATAAGTGAACTTTGATAAAAAGTTGTTATTTCAATTCTCCATGTAGGACATGGGGGAGGCAAATGTGATTCTGTGTATTGAATCAAGCGGAACGACAAAGAGGAGTCCTTCTCTCAATTTTTCTGCATGAGAAGGTACTTGCATAAATTCCATAGTAGGAATTATAGTGAGTTAAAGACCCCAATGGATCCAAGTATGAAACTTATGGTTAATACTGGAAATCAGTTTTACAACTGGAGATGTATGCATGACTTACATGATGCTAGATATCGCATATGCGATAGAACAATTAAGTTGGTATGTGATGAATCCTAGTTCTCATCATTTGAAATGAAATGAGGCGTGTACTAGGATATGTCAAAGGCACACTGTATTGACTTATAGTGGCTTTCCATCAATTTTGGAAAGGATTTGTTGATGTTAGTTGGATTTCTCATGTTAAACGTGATACTTCAACATTGAGATGGGTCCTCTTGCTTGGGAGAGGTGCCATAATTTGGGCCTCTAGAAAGCAAACTTGCATCACTAAGTTTCACTATGGAATCAAAATTTGTGTGGCCTTGATTTCTCTTAGAGAAGAGACATAATTGTTGAGAGGTTTGGTTTATGACATATATTTATGGCCTAAACCAATCTCACCTATTACTATCTTTTGTGATAGTAATGCTAATTTGGCTAAGGCATATAGTCAAGTGAAAATGACAAGTACGGTCATGTGGGAGTAAGGCACGGTAAAAGCTGTGAACTGATCATTCATAGTGTTGTGTCTAGGCAGTATGACCAAACTCAAAATAATTTGGTTGATAATTTGATGAAGTGGTTAACAGTGACTTGGTGATCAAGTCTGTGAAAGGGATGGGTTAAAGTCCATATCATTTCTGGTAATGGGACACCCAATTCCCCTCTAATACAACGTTAGAGGCTGAATTCAATGTGGAAAACTTATTATCAGAAATTGAAGCACACAATTTGTCATCCCGAGGTATGTGCTTGTTATCATGCATGAGAGAAGAGGATGAAGTTCAAACTTCTTAATTGAATCTTTGAAAAAGTGTATTATGCGGGTGCATGAATATGAGATTCAACCTACGTAAGCATGAAGTGTAGCCGCTTCAAGAAACCCGGACTTTGGTTTCGTGTGCGCTTATGAGAAGGATTGGACACATGGCGGATAATAGTGTCAAGGCGCTTTGAAGTTTTGAAAACTTAAGTGTATATTATCTTCGAATATTCATATGAGTCAATGGGTTCAATCGTTACCGACACCCTTTGTATTCGAATATTTGTCAAGTGTAATATACTAAGGTGAAAATTCAATCGTCACGACATTTTCATTTATGCTTAAGTTTTGTTGGAAGAATGTTGTGATTTTAGTGAATTCTATGAATACACTAAAATGGGGGAGGAATGTTGGAAATTTGGTTGAACCGGACTAACCAAGTCAAACCGGTTTTGGGTTGGACCGACCAACCGGTTTGGTATTAGACCGACCTAACCGATATTCTAATTCGTAATTCCGTGAAGGGACACATCCCTTTGGCCTAGTGGCGGTTGCATTATTTTATGGATAAGGATAACCTTATGGATAGAGGCAACCCTTCATATGGATAAGGATAACCTTTCATATGGATAGAGGCAACCTTTCGTATGGATAAAGGCAACCTTTCGTAAAGGCAACCTTTCATGAAACAATGCATGGATTCGGCCCCTATAAATATGTGTGGGGTGGATGATGCCACATACCATCAAACATATTATTCTTCTTTCTTCCAAAAATTTCTAAGTATGCTTTAGTGTTCTTGAGCCTGGAACCTAAAGTGGTGATAGTTTTATCCTCGGGAGAAATTTCCTGTAACCCTAGGCTTGTTGAGGGTGGAAATATTCTTTTCGGAAAGTGAACGTTGTTCATGACTCTATCACAATCCTAATCACCCGGTCTCGGGCTATCGTACGTGTACCCTCGTCCCTAAAAGTCCCAACAGTCTATCCCACTGTTATGATGTCTTTCATCCTAGCGTCACAACAAAATACCATAAGAGCATTGAAAATAAAATAAAAGGATATGCAAAGTTATTGATCGCTCGTAATTAACATAGAAAAATAGGTAAGAAAACTTATCATTCTACTAAGGTGGCCGGTATAGTAGGAAGAAAGGCCTGTATATCTACAGAGACTACGTATACTATAGTACTCGTCCGTTACCTATTATCAAGTCAATTGTTTTAGCTGATTTTACAATTTTACTATTTTACTCATGCAATAGTAATAATAATAACACAAATAAACAATCAAAAAGTAAAATCAAGATGAGAAGGCATTTTTCGGAAATATATCCCCTGATATGAGTTATAAAAACATTTTTAATTGTTGTTACGTTGATCGTTATGTTTAACGATCAACAAAACAACAGAGGACATTCTTGACATTGCAACCCAATACATAGGGACACAAATGACTCAACGAAACATAGGGGTGCAAGTGACAAAAATCTTAAACA